AAGCTATGACCTGGAGCAAGAGAGGTGCAGAGGGTTTGGGTGATGTTCTGGGACAAGGAATTGGAGAGTAGGTAGAGTGTCTGAGGCAGGCTCTGGCATGGAGGCACTTGCCTAGGCAACTCCCAGCCAGCAGCGTAGTGGGACCTACACGCAGGCTCCCTGCCTGTTGCAACCCTGGGCTGTTCAAAGTAGCTGGTTGCTCCATGTTCCTATGTGCCAAATGCTTTGTGTGATTACTAACCCTCCACCCCCCTCCCAAGTGCATGACACGGAGAGGCTGCTTTATGCCTGTACAAGGAGAAGGGAAGTCCGTAACAGGAACTTGGCGAAAGTTAGAAAAGGGAAGTCAATGACAGTTACATATATACCTTTGAGGGGAAAGTTGGGCCCTTCTGCTTATTTTGCAGACACTGACTCTGAGAAACTGTGGAGTGAGCTGCAACTTTGGCCTGCAGAGACAAATTACTATTGTAGAAAAGACTGATCTAACTATGAAGAGCTACTTTATAGATCTTACTTGCGTAAATAGAGGAAACTCACTTAAAAAGAAAAAGGCTTGAGTTTTTTGACTAGATGAAAAGACTGAAAGCAGAAAGATGAACCCCGAAACACATGTTCTAAGGACGTACATTGCAAAAGAACCTAGTTTTGCATTCAGCTTATGCTAATTAGTTCCTATCATACATACTGTATGATTTTAGCATATAAAGAGCCCGATACTGCAAAAACTTACTGCTCTGAATTTGTCGAATGGAGTTCTGTAGGACTGCTCATATCAGGAAGCAGCATTTGAAGGTTTGGGCCCATGGTGAAGTGTTAATTACAGTAGGTGGTATGTTGCTGAAGGTCAGGAGTTTGAATTTCTCCTCTCTATGTCCCATTAACTGGAGAACTCTTGGAAATTTCTAAAGTCCGCAGCTGTGAAGATGGAGGTAATGCTGAAATCTGGCAGAAAGCACCATATTGCAAAAGGCCAGAGTAATGCTAAAATGGTTACTTGTACTTATAGTGTAATGCCATTGGTGGTAGGGCGGTACAGGCTGTATTGTTCAGCCCAAGAGCTCTCTAAAACTAATTTGTGTGCCCTAGATTTAAAATGCACCATTTCTGGAAATGTTCCCTTTTGACCTTCCATACTCCAGAAAGAAAACCTACCTTCTGGCCTGGAATATCTGAGCAGTTTGGGGAAGTGAGTGAAGGAAGAGATGAGGTTATGGCTTTGTCCAATTCCATGGCTTCATTAGTGAAACCATATTTGTTTGACCTAGTCTTGAAGTGGCTAATTAATTTGCATCAGGCCCTTATGAAGCAGCAGTGCATAATTTTGCTGCTTCATTGGCTAAGCCATTCCAAAATAAGTTATTTTTGCATATAACACACTTCTGTCCCATAAAACAGATGATGATACATGCATGAAGGACTGAGCATTTAACATGGGCAATTCCAGCAAGAGTTTATAAAACTGAACTTTTCAGGAATCGTAGACATAAAGGAGAAGATTTGAGTTGATATGTCTCTCTTGTTTTGGGGGCTTACGCACATGTTGTTTTGTAAAGGATACTGATGGGGATCATATGACAATGTGCAGCAGTGAGTCACTGTGACAACTTCATGTGTTTCTCTGCTTCCCCAGTTCAATGCACTAGCTTTTCTAGCCATTAGCACAATTATTTTGGGCTTGCAAGGCAGTTTCATTACTTTCTGTTCATTTCTCTTGTGTGATATTATAGTGTTTTAAAAACTAATTTTTCCATCATGCTCGTAATTACAGCTGAAGTTTTGGATGGATTTACTTCCTGGATCCACTTCATTGACATTGTGCATGTGTTTAGCTTGTTGTTTCATTGAATGAGGTATTTTTTATCATTTGCTTGTAGGATGTTTTGCCTTTTTTTTTTTTTTTCTTTTTTTAAACTTGCTTGGCTTTTTAGTCCAGTAATTTCACTGGGACATATTGAAATATTTTGTGGAGTACCGAAATAGAAAACCAAGGAAATTTAGCACAGCTCTTGTAAAGTCAAGCTAATACACATAGGCAAGTTAATCTCTTTATTCCTAGAGAAGGCTTTCTTTTCCTACCCAGGGCATCAGTTTTGAACTGAGAGTTGTAGATAGGGTTAAACAAACACACATTTGTGGAACATAGTGGAGAATGTAAGACACTGAATTCTTTAAAAAATTTCTAGGTGGATTACTATTTGCCAGCGATCACAAATGTAATAATCAATCAATGGAAATAATTCTATTAGAAGTTTTGGCATTTTCTGTACTTTTTCAGAAGAAATATTCATGAGTTTGTTTAATTCAGCTTTGTTGCATTTACTCATAAGAGGGCAGTATAGCACTATTAGCCAAATACCTTGTGTGCACATTATATTTGATATTATGCATTGCATCATGTTTTAAGAAATGGCTTGAGAACTCTGAGCACAGTTAGAGCTTTGTGACTGGCTCCACAAGTTATATTGCATCTACACAGGGATCAACCTGTACTGGAAATACATAGATTGTTTTCTGTGTGCACATTATTTATTTATTTATACATACAACTGTATTGCAAACGTATGCAGTGTTTCTATTTTATCAATCAATATTTATAGGCATGTAAAAGAGGAGCTGGCATGGGTTTAAATTATGCCACCTTGCTCCTCAGGGAAGTCAATCGCTGTTTCCAACATTGCTTTTCCTTGGATGCCATATGCTTCCTGCCAAGTCAGAAGGGCAGTTTTCATCATTTTGCACCGTTGTCATTTCCTCTTCTTGGCACCATGTAAACCTACATTGATGCCAGAGAGCAATAAGTATAAATATGGGCTCTTGCCTTGAAGATCCTTGCAGTACGCAGCACACAATCCAGCTGCATGCAGCGCAGAGTCAACCTGTGGAACTCCTTACCAGAGGATATTGTGAAGACCAGGACTTTAACAGGGTTCAGAACAGAACTAGATAAATTCATGGAGGATAGGCCAATCAGTACTTATTAGCCAGGATGGGTAGGAATGGTGTCCCTAGCTTCTATTTATCAGAGGCTGGAAATAGGGGACAGGGGAGGGATCACTTGATGATTATCTGTTCTGTTTGTTCCTTCTGGGGAATTTGGTATTGGCCGCTGTTGGAAGGTGGACCTAGATGGGCTAGATGGACCTTTGGTCTGACTGAGTATGACCATTCTTATCTACAGTCTAATTCATATACACACAAGAGTCAGGATAACAGGCCAGTGAAAGATACGGTGTAAGAGTTTCTTTTAATTCATACAACATGGTGCCCTGAGTAGTTTATCTGAGTGACTACTCGCTTCCCATGTGTTCAATTGTTTGGCTTTTAGCCTCACGAGGCATGCTGTAATAATCTAGAAATATGCTATCTTTGGAGTCTTTGTTTAGAATTTCTTTATGAATTTATTCCTTAAAAGGTTTTTTCTCTCAAGGCTTATTATGAATTTTCTCTTTATAACATCTTGCTGTAATATACATGGGGTGGCCCGTGGATGTAGGCAACCTTGGCAGTTGCCTAGGGCGCTATGTTTAACGTGACGCCCAATGATGACGTCACACCACTGAGTGCTGTGGAGGTGGGAGCACCGATCTGGCATTCCACCTAGGGTGCCAGTTCCCGGCAGCTCTCCTCGCGTCACTCCTGAATATACACAATGTTTTGTCTGCGTATAACTCCAGTACAAAAGAACACTGTGGACTGCAGGCTGCATATGGCCTGTTGCCCTTTTGTTTGCGGCCCGCAGTGCAGTTTCGGTTTACATGGGGCTCAACATGTGGCCCGTGGGTGGGATCCTTTGAACATGGCCTCCACTGGGAACATGCTCCACAATGGTGAGGCGTCTTCCAGGTGGGGTGAGCATTAAAAGATGCAAGCAGATGGGCTGCCTGGAACAGACGGGTACAGAGTGTCTACATTTCTATCTCCTGAGGAGGAGGTGCCAGGAGTGCTGGGGCATTGTGGGAGTTGCTTTGTATTCATGCTCGTCAGTGTGAAAGAAGCATATATTTGCATGTATATGAAACCACACTTAGTTGTGGCTCTTGGTACATGCTGTGAGTATCATTGTGGCCCCTGGGTCTTCCAAAGTTGAGTAGCCCTGCCATAGATTATTTGTATCTTGTTTCACCATTTGTGCTGTGCTGCTATATGATGTAGTGGAAATACTGTACTTCATTTTTTGTAAGCTACGTGCATGTCTGTTGTCTTCAGTGTTGTCTTGAATGAATCTTCTATTACCACATTTAAAAGGCTGCTATTAAATGCTACATAGGCATATTGATCAGCTTTTATAAGTAAATCAGCATCATGGATTAGTAAAAAAATAAAAAAGATGCAGGAAATTTGATCATCTGTGCATTGCTGCTTTACGCAGAGAGAAATGGCTCGACGCTGCATGTTGGATATTGAGGTTCCAAAGGTCATAAATCAAAAGATAAAATAACTAAAGGAAATGCAGTCTCTTGTGTGGTGTCTTTGTGGGTATCGTCATGGTTAGTAAAAGTGTGCCTCATGACTCACAATGTAACAGCTAATTGAAGATGTTCCAAAACAATATGCTACTCCTGCCTCTATCATGACAACTTTCCTCCATACTCTCCCTCCAAGAGCATGCTGTTTTTTAGGGGTTAATATGATAGTATGACATACGTTTTCAAAATTATTATAGGTGTTCTGGCAAAATTACTGGCCCTAAGTGAAATTGTAGAAATTTACTTTTCTGGTTAGTGGTTCATAGAATTAATTGATTGTTTTCCCTTGATTAGTTAATGTGTAAACAGTGCTTTTGCTTATTTTTATTTTGTATGTATGTATGTATTTATTTTTAAAGCACTCATTAAAGACCCACGACACACTCCCAAAACTTGAAGTAATGGATTTTTGGCTCCTGTTGTCTTTGAATGAAATCCAGAACAAATGTTGTTTGATAATGGTTTATAGTTGCATTGCACAGGTTGCTGTTCATGGTAAATAATTAATGCCTCTTGTGTTCTTGATTGCAGATTTTCAGAACCCTGCCTGATGCCACTTTCTCTGAGCCAATCTCTATGTCAGTATCTCCTCCAAATGCCCCCCCAAGGCAATCGAGAAGACAAGGGCAGCGTAATAAGCGGCCTCTGGCTGTATATAATCTCTGTCTTGAGCTTGATAATGGTAAGATTTTAATTATATTGTCTGTCTTGGCAGCAGATGGAAGTTGCTGTATCTCTTATGTGAGTCTACAGTAATTTTCCATTTCACATTTCTATTTTTTTTCTTTTTGTCATTTGAGACATGGAAAAGTGGGGAGGCAAAGAGGGAATGTTCTCATATATATTTGAAACTGAGGAATAATTGCCCCCTCATTTTAAAAAAGGCAGCTCTCATTTGGGGAAAACTGTATGACCTCTGCTGAAAATGCAACCATAAAATAAATGGAGAGAGAACTAAAATTAGAGCAAATCTTTTATGAGAAGAGCTAATGCACTCTAATGTTAAATTCATCTGGATTAAAGGCTCAGTTCACCCAGTGACTGAAGAATACTGCTACTGAATTTGAATCTTTAATATCTTGATGTTCAGAGGCAGTAAATACTTGCATCCTGATCTATGCTGCCGAGAAGCAAGAAATGATCCTGGATATACCATATGTGGCAATATCCTATAATGTAGTATGGTATATAGAGTGTCCTGCTTGTCCTGGCATTTAACCCCAGACTTGATCATCTCCTTGAAATCTTGTGGTGTGGGGACATGTGTAGTTCTGAAAAGGCAAGTTTAGTACTCAGTTTGTATGGAAACCCTCTCCATTTTACTGCCTTCCTCTCTCTTAATGTAGCTAGTTAATTATCCTACCACATGAAGAGACATGGAATCAAGACATGAAACCCAGCTAACATTAGAGTGAAGAAAATGAAGACTAGATGGTTGTGTGCTTATATGAGATTTATCGATACACTTTCATTAGATCACCAGTCTCATATGGTGAATTTGGTAGTGAAGCACCAGAGATGCTTACTGTAGCTGTACATGCAGGTTTAATAAACAAACTCAGCACAACTGTATCAGACAGCTGGCTCTGAGAAATGTTTGCAAGAGACTCAGCATGTCTACAGTATCTTTCAAATCATTGGTGAGCTAGGGAAGCTCTGCTTCTTTCTTCCTTTTTTAAAAAAGATATATGAAACGAGAGGTATATACTAAAAAAAGTTAACAAATTACTTGGTGTATGGTCCCTGCTGACTGAAGAAAGAATGTGCTGACAAACTAAAAGACATTGTAAACAGTTTCTCCAATTATACATTTAATATTGAATTGAAACATTTTTTTTATATAACTTGAGTGGCTGCTGAGCATGTTTGAAGCTTACCACTGCCTCTATTTTGAATCCAAACTCTGATTGGGTCTGGGAACTCCCACCACACAATGGCAGCACCTCTCATTAAGGATCTGATCCGAGTAGTAATGTAGTTGCTGGGAACTGCCTAGACTTGATTGGGAACAGAATTAGGCCCTAAAGCAGGGTTGTTGGTAATAAAACAAATGATAATCTGAGAGAGGCAAGATGGGTGAGATGATACCTTTTATTGGACCGACTTCTGTTGGAGGAAGAGAGAACCTTCCAGGCTTCACAGAGCTCTTACTCAGGTGTGGGAAAGATAACTAGAGTGTGAGATAAGTACAAAGTAGGAGAGATTATCCAACTTTTCCTTTAGCCAAAGAAACAGTTCCCTCCTGGTTTGGATATTTTGAATCAAGAAAAGGTTGAGATTAAAACTTGAACATTGCTGTGTTTAACATGGTAATCAATACTTGTTGGGATCCCTTTGAGGCATGCGGATTTTGTTGTGATAATGACTTGATGAAGCATGATAACCTAGTAGTGATATGTCATCACAGTGTATGAGGATGGGTACCGTGTTGTCATGACTCTGCTGTCACAATATGGTGGTGTAGGATTTTGTCTGAGATCCTAAAATGTGTTTGGGGGATATTTTTCAAAGCCTAAAGGGAATTAGGTACCTAACTCATACTTATTATTAGTGAGAATTGCGTGTTTAATTTCCTTTTGTGCCTTTGAAAAATTTCCCCGTTAGCATAATCCATGCATGTTGAAACAGAGGCATTAATTTAAGACACTCAACACTTTGCTTCTTGGAACTGACTGTTTGATAGATAGCTACTCTGTACTGTTTTGCACATTAATATTGACTTTTCTTCTAAATTTGAATTTAGCTGTTCAGTTTTATGAGGAACTTTTGTCAGTAGCCAATATCCTAATTATTTGACATTGGGTACAAGTAATACAGAATGTTTAGCTCAATTATGTCATCGTAGTACCTGAAAGACCATTTTGGTGGATGAAAAACATAATATGTATTACAGACTCATTAATTCTCCAGTCACTGGTTAGACTTAAATAGCTCTAAATATGTTCTTACAAGCTTTTAGTTACCTCATTCGGTAGAGAAGGGAGAAAGGAACAGAAGTTAGGTTGGGCTTTATTCCATATATTCCTAGTTTCTTGGCTAACAAATACATATTTTATAACTGCTCTTGGAAGATTTTATCCTGTGTATGTGTTGTAACAGGAAATTAAACATTAAATCACTCCCTCCCCTCTTTTTTTTTTTTAAAGTTCACAATGGCATGAGTTAAGCTTCTGTTTGCCAGAAGCTGAGAATGGGTGACAGAGGATGGATCACTTGTTCTGTTCATTCCCTCTGGGAAACCTGGCACAGGCCTCTGTCAGAAGACAGGATCCTAGCCTAAATGGACCTTTGGTCTAACTCAGTATAGCTGTTCTTATTTTGTATTTTCTGGATTTGATCAGTTTGATGCAACCTTGTTTTTCTTAATGTATTTATAGAAAAAGGTGGGCAGGGCTGTCCCTATCAGAGTTAATACCCTACGCAGCCCGATGGGGCAAAGAGTTGCCAACTCTCCTGGACTGCGTGCCATTGGTTGCAATAGCATCTGGCCTGGGAGAGTTGGCAACCCTGGAGCAGGGCAGGGAAGGAAGCTCATCTGCAGCCGTGGAAGGCATGGGTGGCATGAATGCAGGCTAGAGGAGTAGAGGGCTGGGGTCACTGCTCCTTAACATCCCATCCCTAAGCATGCCAGTGTGGTGCCCCAAATTTAGTGGTGCCCTACATAGCTGTAGAAATCTGTCTGTCTGTGAGACTGGTAGAGAACTCCTCCTAAAAAAATAAGAGGTAGGACCACCAAATTTGGTATGCAGCTTCCTTTTATTCAGGGATTGGTTGTTCCAGGACAATAGGATGTACCTGGAATTTCATTGTTTCCCATACTGTGGAAAGGGAAAGAACTGGTGGGACAGGGTTATATTGTGGAACGATCACAGGGAGGAAGCAAGTGCCCCAGAGAGAAGCCACTGACTGGCAGCAGCCTGCCCCGGGCAGCAGTTATCAGCCTTCGCAGACCCTCCCTGTCCCCATGTTGAATCCAAATAGCGCCAGTGTGTGGCTTTTACGGACCCTCCCTGTCCCCAGGCCAGGCCCAGGATTGCTGGTGGTAGGCCTGCACAGCACCCTTCTGCCCCTTGGCTGCCCTCCCTCCCTACCCCCGAGATCAGCTGCTTTCCTCATGCCTAGGCCACCCTGGGGTACACAGCCCCACCCCTACCCCAGGATGGTCCCAGGTAAGTCTTCTAGTATGTATTAGGGCACCCCATGGACAGAGGCTATTCCGTGGGATGCCGAAGCAGCCTCTGTCCATGGGGAGGTTGGGGGTCCCCCACAGACAGGGGTTGCTGTCACCCTACACTGCTGCCTGTGCGGGCGCCTTCGTATCAGTTTTATCAGAGACAGCAGCATGAGTCAGCAGGAGAGAGCCAGTCTGCGCGGGGAGCTGATTTTTTAAAATGGTTCCCCTCATGGACCAGCTCCCGCCTGCTGCCCTGTGCGGCTGCCTCTGATAAAATTGATACGGAGGCTGCGGCAGAGGGGGGCAGTGGGACCGGGAGTGCTCTGGCCACCAGCCCTGCCATCGGGGAGAGCATTTTAGTAACCCTGTAACTGCTAAGAATTGTTGTGGCTATGCAAATACTAAAATAAACTATTTCTAACATCTCTAGTGTATATAGGTATCTAGATCTGACTCTTAGCAGTGTCCCTCACATGGTCCCTTTGCTGGAAAATTTCTTAGCATATTTTACTTAGAATTATTATGCAAACCAGAAAATCATTTGGAAGGAGGAAATTAGCCTTTAACTACCAGCTGTGCCAAGGGGTCAGCAGGCTGCAGAGTCCCCTAGTTGGTACGAAAGCACAAGATCTACGCCAGGTTATTTATTTATTTTAAAGCGCACGCTAGTCATAACGATTCTTGAGGGTACCCAAAATGTTTGTAGCAACTACTCAGAGGTAGGATTCTACCTGAAGTAATTAATGATAATTATACTAGGTTGAGAAGTAGTGCTCCGACTAAAATTTTTATTTTGTCTTCAAGAAATTAGCTACGCTGGAGTCTGATAGCACATAGGTTATCCTTACACATGTTAATTAGGAGATGTTTGCAAATACAATTTAATAATTAAAGTATTGTACTTTTCCAGCTTACGGGTTTTTGTTGACAGCCAGATAAACCAAGTCACAACAGATCCTGTTTTGCTGGGCTTTGAAAAAACTTTTTTGCATGGTAAAGAAATTATGACCGCTACAATCTGATGTTTTCCATTCTCTTGATATTTCAGGTAGAACACCACTAAATGGGGGACCTTACAAAAACTTTGAGATCTGGCCAGTTCCTCCAGTTCTCACGGCAGAACACTTGGACAGGTTGGCCTTTTCTGGTCCAGCATCCTTGGGACCTGACTAGTCCCAGGTGGTGCTCCAAGCTCTGCTGAGGCACATGGCTCATCCCCATTGAACAGCCCCGCTTTGGTGTGCCGGAGATGGGGTACACCATGCGGTCTTGCTGCGGGCACGCTGGGGTGTTCTGGGCTCCTGGCACTCTTGGCAGTTCGCTGCCAGCAGCCCTGCCTACACTAGTGCTCCACCGGGACTTTCTGGTCCTGCAACGTCTGTGGTCCTTGCAGATCACAGATGTTGCTGGACAAGGGAGTATAGGTTTACAGAGGTTTAACCTATACCAGGTTTTTTCCCAAAAAGACACTATACTCCGCTCCAAGTTTCACAGCCTTCTGAAACTAG